AAGGCTGTGATCCCCAGATGCCTACAGTGATCCAGGCTTCCAGGGTGCCGGGTCTTTCTTGCCTTTAGACCTTTTGCAGGTGTCCTCAGCCTAGGATACTCCTCCCCATTCTCTGCAAGATGGCTGGCTCCGTCTTGGCCTTCTGGTCTGTTTCCATGTCACCTCCTCAACGAGACTTTCCCTGATCATTTATTTTTCTGTCATAGCATTCCGTTCTTTTCCCTCATAGCACCTATCTCAATTTACAATATTCTTCTTTCCTTAGTGAGCTCTGTGAAGACATGTCTGTTTTGTTCACCACTGTGTATCCTCTCCTATATGCCTATCACAGCACCTGACATTAGTAGATGGTTATCATACACTTATTAAGTAAATGACTGAATGACTTTCGTTGCCAGTGTTACTAGATTGTTTAAATACAATTTATTTATTTACTTTGAGAGAGAGAGAACACAAGTGGGAGGAAAGGCAGAGGGAGATAATCTTTCAAGCCAACTCCCCACTGAGCAGGAAGCCTGCCAGCTGTGGGACTCAGTCCCACAACCCATGAGATCATGACCTAAGCCAAAACCAAGAGTTGGATGCTTAACTGACTGAGCCACCCAGGTGCGCCAAATCTCTTTCTTTTTTAAAAAATTTTATTTATTGGGGTGCCTGGGTGGCATCAATCAGTTAAGCGTCTGCCTTCAGCTCGGGTCATGATCTCGGGGTGCTTCTCCCCCTCCCTCCCTCTCCCTCCGTCCTGCTTGTGCTTTCTCTCGCTCTATCTCAAATGAATAAAAAAATCTTTAAAAATGTATTTTATTTATTTGAGAGCACGAGCCAGAGCAAGAGTGGGAGGGAGAGGGAGAAGCAAGCTCCCTGCTGAGCAGGAACCCAATGTGGGGCTCGATCCCAGCATCCCAAGATCATGACCCAAGCCAAAGGCAGATGCTTAACCAACTGATGCCACCCAGGTGTGCCTGCCAGTGTTACTAAATTAACGAAACTAGGAAAATGTCAGACAGTATGTCTTGATTTCAGAAACACATAGGTTTGCTGACACATTCTTTTAAAAAGATAGTGAATGGGCTGGAATACAGAAGCATTTTTATTTGAACAACCAACCAAGGAAATGATTCTCTTAATTAGCTGGTGAGGTTGGTGTAACAGGGCTGCTTTGAGGCAGGGCCTGTAGGATATCCAGTGACTCAGAAAAAGTTATCCCCATGGGGGCAGCAGAGAGCACTGATAAAGAACCTTGGAAATTTCTGAAACCTGGTGAAAAGCGTAATACATAAATATTAGGTAACACTTTTAGAGCACTTACAATGGGCTAGGCCGTATGCTAACACCTCATCTGCTAATTTAATATAATCATTAAAACAATGACCTATGGGGTGGATGTTATCTTTGCCCTTTACAGATGAGAAAAGCTCAGAGAAATTAAGGAACTTGCCCAAAGTCCTATTGGTGAAAGTCAGAGCAGGGGAACGAAAAAAAGGGAACAGATTAGGGAGATTTTTAGACAGATCATTGATTTGAAAAAAAAAAAAAAAAAATTAGTGGGGACATGGTAGCTATCTGGAGCGCTGATATGCAACTGTGCTATGTTGACCCGGAGGGGGAAAAATGGGACCAATAAGCAGAAGTGATAGATTTTTCTAAGTTCAGAAAAAATGCTTTTCTAATCACTGAGCATTAGTGAGTTAAGAACTACAGGGGAGGACACAGTGGAAATGGGAATACGTGAAAGGTAGCTGAGGGATGTCAGGGTAAAGACTCCACTGAAGGAAGAGGCAGCTGCGGGAATAGTGTTGAGAAGCAGAAGAGGAGGGGAATTGGGGTCAAGCTGAAGGGGCCAGTGTTGGAAAGTCAGAGGGACGATTTCTCTGCTGAGGCTCCGAGGAAGGGACAGGAGCTGATGTAGAGGAACATCACAGCTACCTCTGCCCTGATGAGTCTTCCTCTAGGAAAAGCGAGGGAGCATTCTGTGAAGAAAATGAGGCTTATGCAGGAGATTGCGTACAAAGGAACAGAGTCCCCCCCGTGGGCTCAGGGGGAAAATGAGTGGGGTAGAAATTTTGACTTTGTCTAACGGAAGCAACCTTCCAAAGCAGAGGCTGTTCATCTTCAGACGACTGGGCTTTCCTTTTCTTGCAAAAACTCGTTCCTCCTTGAAGCCAATGCCGCTGGCTCTATGGCCCTTTAGCCCTCGTGCTTGTTGACATCAGCACCTTGTTCATTAACCTCTCAGCCAGCTCTTCCCCTCATTCTGGGTGGTTTTAGGAAAATCCATGTGACTCCTAGTTATTTCTTCTCTTTTTTAATGAGTTTATTTTTATTTATATTTTTTTCCCCTAGTTACTGCTTGGCCTTCTCAACTCCAACCCATACTCCTACTTTCAATTCCTTAACTTCACCATTTCTTGCAACACAGGTTTTTCCCCCCTTCTTTCTTTCTTCTTTCTTTTTTTCTTCCTTTCTTTCGAGATAATCCACCTCCAATTTATTATTTTATTTTTTCAAGTAATCTTTATACCCAGTGTGGGGCTTGAACTCACAATCTTGAGATCAAGAGCTGCATGCTCTACCCATTGGGCCAGCCAGGCACCCCCACACAGGTTTTTCTTTCTTTTTTTTTTAAGATTTTATTTATTTATTTGGGGGGGAGAGAGAGAGAGCGAGCACAAGCGGGGAGAGAGGGAGAGGGAGAAGCAGACTCCCCGCTGAGCAGGGAGCCCGATGCAGGACTCGATCCCAGGACCTGAGATGATGACCTGAGCCGAAGGCAGAAGCTCAACTGACTGAGGCACCCAGTCGCCCCCAGGTTTTCCTTGATAGCAGCTTCAGGGCCATAGTAGGGTCCGGGGGAGGCAGCACTGGTGGCTCCAGAGTGGGCCTCAAGGCCCCTTGAAAGACGGGGACTGGCGACCATGATGCGTTAAGGATGGAACAGCACAGGGATCAAATTCCACATATTATCCGGGGGAAGGTTCATGATCTGGATTTGACCTTTGTACCAAGCTTCCAGGAAAATTAGGTCTGGAGCTAAAATCACCTTTCCTGTTAGCTGCCTTTCTGGGGACAACTCTGAAACACTCTCTTCCTGGGCGCCTGGGTGGCTCAGTAGGTTAAGCATCTGCCTTTGGCTCAGGTCATGATCCCAGGGTCCTGGGATCGAGCCTCAAAGCTGGCATTGGGCTCCCTGCTCAGCGGGGAGTCTGCTTCTCCCTATTCCTCTCTCAAATAAATAATATCTTAAAAAAAAAGAAAAGAAAAAGGGGCACCTGAGTGGCTCAGTCAGTTAAGCTTCTGCCTTCGGCTCACCTGGGATCGAGCCCCACATCAGACTCTGTGCTCAGCAGGGAGTCTGCTTCTTCCTCTCCCTCTGTCCCTCCTCCTGCTCATGCTCCCTCTCAAATAAATTTATAAATAAATAAATTAGTTAAAAAAAAAGAAAAAAAATACTCTCTTCCCTCAGATTCTGTAAGAATCATCACCTAATTTTTATTCTTTCTCATTGCCTGTTCCTTTTCAAAGATTCTCCAAGGGCTCTTCTTTGTGTACTACAAATGTTGGAATTCCCCCAGAGCACTCTTCCTAGCCCTCTGCTGTTCTCTGGAGTTTGCCCAAATCTATGGCTTCAACTGCCACTGAAATGTTCGTGATTCAGAATTTCTGGCCTATACATCACTGGAGTTTTAAAAAAGTAGTTTTCTATAAAAGTAATATATGTACATAGTAGAACAAATCCACACAGTAAAGATGGATCTAAAATAAAAAGTAGAAATTTCATCCTTCTCAGACCCACTCTTCATGGTTACTTTTTAAAAAAATCTTATTTATTTATTTATTTATTTAAGAGGGCACGAGAAATAGAGCGAGTGAGCGAGCACGGGATTTGATCCCAGAACGCTGGGATCACGACCTGAACATAAGGCAGACACTTAACCGACTGAGCCACCCAGGCGCCCCCATGGTTAATTTTTAAATGCCTGTGTAAATGTGCCATATGTATTCTTCTACTCATGTTTTTTCATTTAATAACTTCCACTTAATTTTTCTACATTTAGATCTGTGTATTCAATTGCCATTGGTACGGTAGGTCTGGTTGTCCCACAGGCATCTAAAAGTCCTTCCCTTTCTTTGGAATCCCGCCTCATGCTACACCCTACCTCTAGCCTCTTTTTTACAGTCAACACCACAAGAAAACTCTTTATACATTGTCCGTCTCCAGTCACTCAGTTTACCTCACTCTGGTTTCTATCCCACCGTATCTCTGCAACAACTTTCTCTAAAACTACCAAAGGACCTCCTCTTGCAATACCCAATGGACACAGTGTAGTACATACCTTAGCTAATCTGTTACCTTTAACACCTTGACCAGTTTCCCTGGTACTTCACTCCTGGATTACTTCTTTCCCTTCTGTCTGCTCCTTCTCAATGTCCCTTTTTCTGTTTTCTTCCCTCATCTCATTCTCCAGATGCAGATACTCCTCTCTAGGCCGAATCCAATTCCATGGCTTCAACACCCAACTATACGCACACGCTCGCTCGCGCACACACCTCAAACTTTAGGGTTTCCAACCCACATGATCTAATGTTCAACTGTCTAATGGATGGATACCCATCCACAGGCACCAAACTCATTCTCTCCCCCAAACCAAAGAGAAAATGGCATCACTTTCCCCCAGTTACCCAACTCAGAACACTGGGAAATAATCTCTGCCCCATCCCCATTGCCGATGTTCTTTCCCATCCTCAGTCTCCCTCCTCTAGGTCAGACCACCGCCGTCTCCTGCCTGGAGAAGAGCTCCCCAATTGTTCTGGCCTCTAACTTCGTTCCCTCCTATCCAATCTCCCCATTGCAACCAGCGATCTTTTAAAAACGCAAATACAACTGTTCACTTCTCAGCCAAGCTCTTCAAAGCCTATCCGTTGCCCTTCGGGTAAAATCAACTAAGTTACAAGGCCTTGCGTAATCGGTCCCTCCCATTCTCACGGGCCTCATTTATTACCTCTCCTTTAACCAACAGGCTGCTGACAGCTGCAGAACGTACCCGGCCCCCCAGCCCCATTTCCCACCAGTCCAGGATTCGGCTCAGGCGACACTTCCTCCAGGAAGCGGGTGCTTAAAAGGCAAACGCTCAAAGAATGAAATCCGAGGGGCATCTGGGCAGCGCTTTCAGCTCCGGACTGAGGTTCACGGAACGTCCGGATTTACCGGAAGTCCAGGGCAAAGGTCAAACGCGATCGCGACCCTTTCCCGAAGTTCGCGGGCCAGTCCGACCCTTGCACCCTTCCGCCCTTATGAGTCATGGCTGCCAGTCCCAGTCTTTCGATGGTCCTGAAGTCGACACCAGCCAGCTCTGGCGCCCCCAATGTCCTCACACTCGAGAAAGCAACCCTCCCTCCCTCCTCGCTAGGGCCCTGAAGCCGCCGTCAGGCAGAACCTGCGGCGCCCGCTCGCCCCAAAGCAAGATGGCTACCAGGCGCTAGTCTCCGCTCCCAGAGTGAAGCTATCCACGCCCCGGTTAATGCCGCTGCCAGGCTGCCCTCACCCAGCATGGCCACCCCGGCTCAAGCCTCACTATGGTCTCGAAGCCACTGCTGACCGGCCAGGTTCCGGGAGGCGCTGCTCAGGACGCGGCCGCCCCCCCCTCCACGCCCGCGGCGGCGGCGGCGGCGGCGGCGGCGGCGGCTGGAGCCCGGATGCGGCGGCGTGCGACGGGCCGGGAGGGCGGCGCGGATGGATCCAACATGGCGACGCCGAGCCTGAGCCGAGAGTGAGGCGGCGGGGCGGCGGAGTGGGGAGGGGGAGGCGAGCGGGACGGGGCGGGGCCGGGCGGGGCCGCGGAGGGCTTGGGGAAGGAAAGTGGAGGGGGAGGCGGAGGCGACGTCCAGCCCGAGAACCTCGAGAGAGGGAGGTGACGGGACGCTGCGAGGTGGGGGAGGGGAGCGGCCGAGGGGGCGTGCGGGGGAGGTGGCAACTGTGGGAGAGGGCAGGGGCGAGGCGGGGGAGTGGGCGCGGGGAGGGGCGTAAACAAGGGCCGGGCCGGGCCGGGGGTGTTGGCGCGGCCGAGGTGGGAGTGGGGCTGCGATCCCGCCGGATGGAGGGCGGTGGGCTCGGGAGGGAGCGGCGGAGGGTGCGAAGGGGAAGGGGCTGGTGGCATGTGGTGGGAGGGACTGGACTCTTGAGAGCGGTGTTGCGAGGAGGTGGGAAAGGATGAGGAGGGGACTTCAGACGTTTTGGGGGAGGCTTTGAAAGTGTTAAATTGGAGGTGGGAGGGGGAAGGGCCTAGGGGAGGATTTGGGTGGAAAAGGAGAGCACGGAGGTTTTGGGGGAATGGAGAGCGTGGCGGTGTGACGAGGTAATGGGGAAAGTGAGAGACTAGGCGGAAAGTTTGGGAGGAAGGGGAATGGGCTGGTAGATAGGACAGTGGAGCTGCACGGGTGATAGAGGTTGGGGGTTTCCCTCACCCCCAACCCCCTCTGCCCCCCTCCCCCCCCCCCCCGTGGAAAGGAAGAGAGCGAGCAGAGTTAAGCAGCATCAGTTGCAACCAATTCTAATTGCCAGGCCTTTAGCTTTTAATAGGGTGGGGAGGGCAGAAGGGAATGGTTCAGAGAATTGGGGTTGGATGAAGGTTCAACTGGATTTGCTTTCCAAAGGCTCCCTGACTTACTGCTCCCTTGTTTTTCCTGGTTACTGAAAGAAGGGGAAATGGGGAAGCCAGTGTCACCGCCGCCAAACTGTAGAAGGAGGAAAGGACTTTTCTAGTTTCTAGCAATTAGCAGTTTAAGACTGGGGAAACAGCCGTGCTGAGTTGGACCCCTATATGCCAAGGAGGAGGCTGTGGAAATCCGAGAAAGGGAACAGAAAACAGGATGGCATCTGGGCAACCTGGATAATTAAATGAGTGCTTTAGTTTCCAGACCTTTCTTTTGCTGTTTATGTGCTAAGAGGGAGGGGTCAGTATTCACATATAGAAAACGTTCCCTGGTGAAATGTAGATGTCTGAGTGAATGCGGCCCCAGTGGATATTTTGTTCTCACTGTGTGCTAAGGGAAAGGGCAGAAGACAAAATTTGGAGGATAGTTCTGGTCTGATAAGCGAACTGATAGAAAGTGCCTTCTTTGGCTGTAACCATTTCCCCACCCCCAGTTCTCCCTAAAGTTGAAAATCAAGGTTAATATTGTAACAAAATAGGTGGGTCTCAAGGAATTGAGGAGTCAGGTGAGAAGGTATCAGAGCATAATTGGTTTTCCCACAAGTTGTTGAATTTCCCACAAGTTGCCATGAGCCATTGAGTCTGGAAATTCTTGATTTGGTATTGTTTTGTGAATTGGTTAGTAGAGAGGGAAGCCTGGGGACTTGGTTGGGGGTGAGTTCTCTCATTTCGCTCAGAGTGGATCACTTTAATCGAAATGGCTTTAGGTGTGTTTGTGTATTTTTGTAACTGAGACTAATTCTTTGGGCCTTTGATGTTTCAAAATAAAGCTTGAAAATTGACTCTTTCCCCCTCCCCCCCCCCCCATTTGTTTTTGTTTTGCTGCTGGCTTCCAACCTTGTGCTAGGAAGAGACCTGGGAAATTAAGTTTCTTGCAAAGGTAAGTCTGGAACTTTTTATTGTTTTTGAACAATGGAAGGGAATGGATGGGAATGGCATGAGAAATGTGTTGGGGTTGGCCCAGTAATGGGTTAGATGCCAGGGAAAATGAGTTTTCACCTACACAGCTGAGTGAATAAGATCTGTTGCAGTCACTGTCTTTCTGGGTAACTGGAGATTGGTAGGAAGGAAAAGAGAGCAGAAATTAGGTGTTTGGGGGCAAGCCCCCAGCTTTGGTTTGTTATTATGTAGTCTTCTTGGTCAGCTCCGAGAGAAACATTGTTTAACATATGGAACATTATACTCTAACGGACATCTACTAATGTTACCCTTGGGGGGTTGCTGAGGCACCTTCCATGGGAAGGCTTTTCCTCTAGCTTACTCTTCCTTCTAGTTGTTCAGGGTTCCTGGAATCTTCCTTTGAAAACATACTATGTAATTCTGACTTTCAGATGCTTGGTTACATTTTCCTTGTCCCACCAGCAAGAAAGCTCTTTACTTTCTCTCAGTCATCTTGAAGCTTTTCCATGTCGTTTTCATTCCAAGTTTCAAAACATCACTCTTTTTTACTTCTTCCACATGACTTTCCTCCCTAAGGGCTTCAGAGAGAGTCAAATACTTCTGGTTCTGTGAAAATATACATGCCATCCCTGTTGAGATGAAACTAGACTTTCATCTTCATTTCAAGAGATCATTCTTTTTGTATTTCTTTTTTTTTTTTTTAAGATTTTATTTATGTATTAGAGAGAGGCAGAGAGAAAAAGCACGAGCAGGGAGGAAAAGGAGAAGCAGGTTCCCTATGAGCAGGGAGCCCACTGTGGGGCTCGATTCCAGGACTCTGGAGAGATCATGACTTGAGCCGACGGCAGACGCTTAACTGACTGAGCCACCCAGGCACCCCTCTTTTTGTATTTCTTACACATGACTTTGCTCTACGGACTTCTGAGAGAGTCAAGTACCTCAAAAAATACAGATGTCATTTCTGGTTGGGATGAGACTAGACTTTGCTTGGAAGTAGAAACTTGATAGGCAGTTCTGTAGATACATACAGACCATCTGTTGGCATTTGGCTGGTTTGGACCTCCCTAAAGAAAACAAACAAAAAACTACAGGAAATGCAGCAGCAATTCCTGGGAATAAAGAATTATTCTTGGGGCTTAAAAAAAAATTGGGAAACTCTAACGGGGGGACTCATGTTAGGTTCCCAACGGACCCAAACCAGCCAGTGGGAGCAGGACTCTTTGGAGTGTTTTGTTTGTCTCCTGATATCTGGCAATATTTCAGGACTTAGGAGTTCTTTTTAATCTATTGTTTACAGGGGGTACGTTCTTCTTACTACTGATTATCTTTCATCTAGGATCTCTGTATATTTTAAGCTGTGTTCCCAAGCTTCACTGCCACAGAAAGCTGAGTATATTTTGGTTTAAGAGGAAGTTGGCCATGTTCTTTTAATGCTGAAGTTAGATTCTTGGAACCCCATCTGGATTGCTAAGTGAGTGAACTCACCATCCTAGATGATAAGTAAGGGGTGGTGGGGGGGGGGCTGCCTATTAGCCTGCATGTCAGCCTCCTGACATTTCTTTCAAGGACATGGCCTTGGGAAACTTAGACTTCTACATTTTGCTTCATTGAGTAAGCAGAATGTCTGATCAGCAGTCGAACAGGGAAGGGTCTGCAACTGGTCTAGTTTCAGGACTTTAAAGATGGCTGTGAGAGTTAAGTGTAGGATCCTTTTTGTTTGTCTTGCAGAGGATGGCATTTCTCTTATCTTCACAGAGGTCCAGATTGAACTAGGTCACATTCGACCTCCTGGGATGGGGCAGAGGAGAGTATAGCCCCACCACTTGTTGCTCACCTGAATGGCAACAGCAGGTGATAAGAGAAGCCAGGGTTGGAGTGGGATGGAACTCCTTAGTGCTCGTGGAACTTAGGAGTTAAATAAGTCTATGTCTGACTGGCTTTTCTTTTCTTCTGGAATATTGTTTGATGGGTTTGGGTCAGAAGGACCCAATGGCATCCTTCTCTAGATCTAGGGTGGAAAGTGACATGCTGTCTCTCTTCTTTTGACCATTCATCATGGTCCATCTACAATAGGGTTTCTCAGCTTCAGCATTATTTTTTTTTTAAGATTTTATTTATTTATTTGACAGAGCACACAGTGAGACACAGCGAGAGAGGGAACACAAGCAGGGGGAGTGGGAGAGGGAGAAGCAGGCCTCCTGCGGAGCAGGGAGCCTGACGTGGGGCGGGAGCCCGATGTGGGGCTCAATCCCAGGATCTTGAGATCATGACCCAAGCTGAAGGTAGACGCTTAACGACTGAGCCACCCAGGCGCCCCTTTTTTAAAGATTTTATTTATTTATCTGAGAGCGCATGCGCATGTGTGCGTGTGTAAACATGAGAGAGGGGAGAAGGAGAAGCAGACTCCCCACTGAGCAGGGAGCCCGACAGGACACAGGGATCCCAAACCCTGGGATCATGACCCAAGCCAAAGGCAGACGCTTAACCAGCCATCCCTCATTATTGACATTTTGGGCTGGATAATTCTTTGTTGTGGGGGCTGTCCTGTGTATTATAAGATGTTTAGAAGCATCCATGGCCTCTATTCACTGCAGGCCAGTAGCGCGGTCCCTTGCCCCCTCCAGTCATAATAGTCTAAAATGTCTCCCGACATTGCCACATGTCCCCTGGGGGGCAGAATCCTCCCTGGTTGAGAACCATTGACCTAGAAGCTATGATAATTCCTGGCCCTTTGAATGATCCAGCCTGGGATCTAGGACTTAAAGGTGGCTGTTTTTTCTCTCATATCTAGAGAGTTAACTCTCAGAGGACTGAGACCTATTATAGAATTGCATCCATTGAGGGGCACCTGGCTGGCTCAGCTGGTAGAACACACGACTCTAGATCTCGGGGTTGTGAGTTCGAGCCCCACATTGAGTGTAGAGATTACTTAATAGAAATCTTTAAAGAAAAAAAAAAAAGAACCCATGTAAATAAAAAAAATCAAACACTAAGCTACAAAAAAAAAAAAAAAGAATTGCATCCATTGATACATAATTAGGACCATAGTGCTTTCCTATGGCCTCATTTTCCAGTGGGAAGGTATGTGGAGACAATATTCCTTCATTTCTAGGGGCTCATAGTCAGGACACTTTGAATTCGGGCGCTCTCTAGCAACCTACTCTTTGGATTGGTTGAATGTGAAACCTGCCCATCTGCTTTTTCTGGGATCCTCATAATCAACAGCTGGCCAAAAGGAACAGGTGGGATAGGGAACAAGAAGTCTAAGGCTCAGTTTTCTCATGTTGCCTGCTATGGGCAAGGAGTTACTTTCCTTCATCCTCCGCCCCCCACCCCTCCATTTTGTACCCAGTAACTACAACAGGTGAAACGAGAGGAAGAGGCAGAGAAAACCAGCCCATAGTTGGGTAACTGTTTTCCCAGCTGTTTCCCATGCTCGGGGTTGGGGGTGGGGTGGGGGCATCTGGGCTCTCATAAGCAGATATGAGCTATATTTCTTGTCCACATATCAGAACCCATGATACGGGGCTAAGTGATTCCAGGGTGGACCTCCCCTTTTCTTAAGGGAAGGAGTCTCTCCTTTCTTAGGATTATTGAGCGGGAGAGGACCAGGTTGTACTTGCTCTTCAGTTTTCTGAGAGCCCATCAGCTTGACTCTTCTGAAGCAGCTTATCGTTTATTCTCTTTCTTAACTTAGCCTCAGTTTCTTGGCGTATAAATTGTCAGGACAACCTGTCTTGTTGCTGAGTAGGGTGCTGCGGTATGGGAGGTTCTGCACAGTGTAGGGGAGGCTGCAGCTAGCTAGAGAGTATGCGTGTAACTAGGTTGTGCGTATCTGTTTCTAATGAAGTCCTCTCTTAGACTTGTATGAGTTTCTTAATTGATATTGCTTGTGATGATGTCCTAAGTTTAGTTCAATAGGTTGCAAGTACTATGTGCCAGTCTCCATCCATTGCTAGGCACTGGGGATATGAAGATGAATATGACTTAGTCTGTCTACATGAGTTGTTTAAGGTCTACTAGGATAATAATACACAGATAGTTTTAGTACACTTTGATAAGGGGTTTAAAGAGAATATGCACGATGTTCCGTAGGAGCACAGAAGAGTACTACTTAGCCCAGCATGGAGGTGTGGAGAATGAGTTTGAAGATCTTATCTGAGCTGACTTTTAAAAGATTAGTAGGAGTTTAGCCATCTGAAAAAGGGTGGTGATGGGGCATATATGGGGCAGTGAAGGGAGAGGGGCACTCAGGCAAAAGGAGTAGGCTGAAGAAAGGGACAGAGAAATGAAATGCATGCTGTATTTGAGCTATAACCAAATTGATAATGGAGGAGAATAAAAAGTGGCTTATGAGGTCTGAAAGGTAGGCAGGGCCAGATCTCAGAGGTTTGGTGTGTTGTATAAGGAGTTTACCAGTGTTCTTATAGGTGAGGAGGAGGCTGTAGATAGGTCTTAAGCAGAAAAGTGATGTGGTCAGTTGTGCATTTTATTTATTTTTCTCAAGATTTTGTTTACTTATTTTAGAGAGCGTGAGCACAAGCAGGAGGGGTAGAGGGAGAAATCTCAAGCAGACTCTGTGCTGAGTGTGGAGCCCGATGCAGGGCTCTATCCCAGGACTCTGCTGTCAAGACCTGAGCAGAAACCAAGAGTAGGATGCTTAACCGGCTCTGCCACCCAAGCGCCCCTCAGCTGTGCATTTTAGCTAGCTAATTCAGCTGGGTGTGGGGAATGGATTTAGGTAGGTTAAGATTGTTGGTAAGGAGAGCCCTTGAAGAGGGTGTTAGCGTAGTCCAGGTGAGAGATTATTAGGACCTGAACCAGGGCAGGGGCAGTGGAAAGATGAGGTGATTTAAGACATATGTAGAAGTAGCTTCAATGGAATTTATAATGATTCCAGTGATTGGAGCTGTGGTCAGGGGTGGAGCAGCACTGGATGGCACTGTCTGGAGGAGCAGCACACATGTGTGACTAGAATGGACATGGAAGCCTCTGGACTTGAGGCTTGGTTACTGGCTGGTCATTGACATTACCCAGCTTGCTGGTGGAACTTTGTGAATCAAACACCAGATTATAGAATGAATGTCAGGCTGCTGTCGGTCGTTTTGAGGGGATGGGCAGATGACAACCAGGAGGGAAGGTTAGAAGGGGGTATATCCACATGGTATGTGGCCATCCTGGGAGTACACCTGGCGTAGGAGAATTAGAAGGATGCTCAGTGCAGGAGCTTAATAATGTTTGTTGATTTAAATCCGTGAGTTTTGGTGACTATTGTTAACTTGCGTAGTTATGCTTTTGAACTTAGTTCGATTGTAGGAAAAATGAGGATAGGAATGTGGGGGGATGGGTCTGGGCTGCAGAGGTTAAGGATGCTTCTCTCTTTGAATCTCTTTAGTTGACACAGCAATTTCACATGTATTTTCTAATTGGATCCTTGACAAGTCTGAAGAGTAGTTTCATTCATGTTTTGTAGATGGGGGCAGTGAGGCTTTGAAGTGAAGTGACTCGCGTAAGGTCTTACAGCTACACGGCTTGTTAATGACACAGGGAGAATTGAAACTAGTTCTCAACCTAAAGATTTTCAGGTTCCCTACTGTCAGTCCGTAAGTTCATCTGCTGCAGCTTCCATATTAAGAGTGAATTCTCTACTTCTTCTCAGTTTTGCCCACATTTAAGAGGTGAGGTAGTCAGTGGGGTGGGAGGGAGAGCACAAGGGACCAAAAGCAGTATTTTGGGGACTGGAGAACAATCAATTGGGGTAACATCTAATAGCAACTCCTGCTGAATATGCAGCACGGAAATTGCATAGAACATTCTCACTTAGGGGAAGTGACTGTGTTTCTCCAGTAGGGTCTGGACTTAGGACAACATCTGTTGGATGTGGAGAGCTCTAGGCTTTATTTTTCAATGAATACTTTTTAAATAAAGACTTAGTACGCACCCCTCTGTGCCAGGCACTGTGTTAGGCACTGGGGATGGACAAGCGAATGAGACCAGTTCTTGCCATCGAGTAGCTCACGGGTTCTTTCCTTGTCTCTGCAGTGTAGTGGGGACTGCAGCTGCTGAGCGGGGGTTCTGGGCAGCAGTGCGCACCTGAGCCCCCAGCATGGCGGGCCTAAAGCGGCGGGCAAGCCAGCTGTGGCCGGAGGAGCGTGGTGAGCAGGAGCACGGGCTGTACAGCCTGCACCGCATGTTCGACATCGTGGGCGCCCACCTGACACACAGGGATGTGCGCGTGCTTTCTTTCCTCTTTGTCGATGTCATTGACGACCACGAGCGTGGCCTCATCCGAAATGGACGTGACTTCCTACTGGCGCTGGAGCGCCAGGGCCGCTGTGACGAGAGTAACTTCCGCCAGGTGCTGCAGCTGTTGCGCATCATCACCCGTCATGACCTGCTGCCCTACGTCACCCTCAAGAGGCGGCGGGCTGGTGAGGGCGCACTGGGGGCTGGGGACACAGGGGCCTGGGCAGAGTCGTGGGAGGCCGGGGGTGAGCAGCAGAGGAGTCCAGGTGGGAGGAGGTGCTGACCCTGGGGGTGCCTAGGGCAAGTTAGGAGGCCCACTGGAGGGGGATTAGGAGGGACGGGAGGATCTTTTCCTGAATGACTCCCTCCCCTCCTATAGTGTGCCCTGATCTTGTAGACAAGTATCTGGAGGAGACGTCAATTCGCTATGTGACCCCCAGAGCCCTCAGCGATCCAGAACCGAGGCCTCCACAACCCCCCAAAACAGGTAAGAAAATATTAACTCCTCCTAATTTTTGTATTCAAGAAAGAAGAAACCAGGGGCACCTGGCTGGCTCAGTCAGTCGAGCATCTGACTCTTGATCTCAGGGTTGTGAGTTCGAGCCCCATGTTGGGTACAGAGCTTACTTTTAAGAAAGGGGGGTGTGCCTGGATGGCACAGTTGGTTGAGCATCCGACTCTTAGTTTCACCTCAGGTTGTGATCTTAGGGTCCTGGGATCAAGCCCTGTGTTGGGTTCCATGCTCAGCACAGAGTCTGCTTGGGATTTTCTCTCCCTCTGCCCCCCGCCCCCACGTGCTCTTGCATGTGCTTTCTCTCTCCCTCCCTTCTCTCTTTCTCTCTCTCTAATAAGTAAATAAATCTTTTAAAAAAGGCAGGGGTGGGGGTGTGTGGTGCCTGGTGGCTCAGTCAGTTGAGCATCTGACTCTTGATTTCGGCTCAGGTCATGATCTTGGGGTTGTGGGATCGTGCCCCGTGTTGGGCTCCTTGCTCTGCGGGGAGTCTGCTGGAGATTTTCTCTCTTTTCCTCCCTCTTCCTCTGCCCCTCCTCCCTTCACACACACACTCTTTTTCTCAAATAAATAGATAAATCTAAAAAAAAAGAAACAAAAAAAACCACCACGTTTGACATCGTGGGCACCCACCTGACACACACAGATGTGCGCGTTCTTTCTTTCCTCCTTGTTGAGGGAAACCCGTTCATTGTCCCAGCTTTGCCAGCCTGAATGAAAGGATACTGTGTCTCTCTCACTGCCCCCCAGCCCCCCAGTATCTAGCCCCCTATGAAAATCAGGTGAGGTGTTAATGCTTCACCTGGGTCCTGTGATTGTCCCCACCTTTTGTCCTCTTTTCAGGTCACTTTATTGATACAGTTTTTGGTGCTAACTCTAAAGGAGTCCTTTCTCATTCCAAGGGAAGTGTTTGCATTTCTGCTTTTACCCTATGATGTTTTTTCCCCTTTTACTCTCTGATCAGTGCCTCCCCACTATCCTGTGGTGTGCTGCCCCGCTTCGGGCCCTCAGATGTGTAGCAAGCGGCCAGCTCGAGGGAGAGCCACACTTGGGAGCCAACGAAAACGCCGGAAGTCAGTAACACCAGACCCCAAGGAAAAGCAGACATGTGGTGAGGAAGTTGAAGGGTTCCAGAGGTGGAGTGGCCCTGAGGGGGAGACAGAAAGAACTGCTGAGATACCGGGCAGTGCAGGGCTCGTGTTGAATGGTTGAATGATGTGGTGGGATTGAATGCGTTAGTCTCTGGGGAGAGAATTCCTCTGTCTTTGTGGCAGAGTACTTTTCAGCTCTTTCTAGTTAATACTAATCAAAGGGATGCTGTTACAACATCCTTGTTGTAGGACGAACCAAGCATGATCGAGTACTAAAATGAACTTGTGTGCCTGTTAGTTAGGAAAAGATCTAGAAGTTAAGGTGCTGCTTGTGAGCAGTGGCGATAATCTGACCTGGCCTTGGCCCATTTAAGGGAAACTCTTGCGTTCAGGCAACGATTTCAGGGGTACATAGAAAAGAACTAGTCCTGGGGGAGAGGCAGAAAGGCTGGCAGGCAATGCGCCCAACTTCACTGCTCAGCTGTTCGTTTCCACCCCTCCGCCCCCCTTGCAACCACTGGTGCGTGTCTTCTCTTCCCCGCAGACATCAGACTGCGGGTGCGGGCTGAGTACTGCCAGCATGAGACCGCTCTGCAAGGCAACGTCTTCTCTAACAAGCAGGACCCACTTGAGCGCCAGTTTGAGCGCTTTAACCAGGCCAACACCATCCTCAAGTCTCGGGACCTGGGCTCCATCATCTGTGACATCAAGTTCTCTGAGCTCACCTACCTCGACGCATTCTGGCGCGACTACATCAATGGCTCGCTGCTAGAGGCGCTTAAAGGCGTCTTTATCACAGACTCCCTCAAGCAGGCTGTGGGCCACGAAGCCATCAAGCTGCTGGTTAACGTGGATGAGGAGGACTACGAGCTGGGCCGGCAGAAACTCCTGAGGAACTTGATGCTGCAGGCACTGCCCTGACCTTCCCCTCTCACCTCTCGGGGGACGACTCCCACCGCCCGCCTCTGGAGCTCACATACTGTTCTGGGGTTGGTTCTCTGCCCTTCCGACCAATCACACCCCTGCCTTTTTTTTTTTTTTTTTTTAAAGGAAAAGACAAAAATGGAAGTGGTGTTCCCCACCCCTCCCTGCACCCACGTGCCTGGGCCTCCCCGTTGTTTCCCTTTTCCGCGTACCCTCCTAATGTGTCTCTACAGCCACCTTGCCACTGAGCCGTAAGACAAACGTAGAGGGAGAAGCAGAGGCTACAGAACGTAGTCTTTGTAAGGGATGGAAGCGAACACTGCTTTTGGGTGCGTCGAGGGGTTATCCGTGCTTCTGGCTTTACGAGGGCTCTTCAATTTTGTCTGAAAAACCAAAGGGCTGTGAGTAAGGGAGCTGTGTGGAAGGTGGGACTCTGAAGTGTATTTTGGAAATGAATCACCACCCTCTCCCAAATTATAGAATTTTTAAAAAACAAAGAAGCTGTGGCCCTTTCCGCTCTCTCCTGGCCTCTGGTGCTGCTCCTCTCTGCCCTGTTCCCTCCGTTCCAGGGCTTCAGACCTCTGTCTGGTGCGGCTCTGTCCTTTGTCCCCTTTGCCAAACCCTCTTCAAGGGAGGACTGGGTCAGCCGAGTTGCCCCTCCCGACAGGGTGGACGGAGAAGGGGGTGCTGATTAAAATACACTCCCCCTGAGGAGGGGAAGGGGGAGTGTGAGACTTCCCTTCCATGTTCAAGTGAAAATAAATCATGTACCCCGCAGCCCTTTCCCCTTGGCTTTCTTCTGGCTTGGGCAAAGGGCATCACAGGTGAAAGTGAAGTCATTCAGTATCACCTCCTGTCTTCTCTCTCCTTCCCCATTCTCTATCCCACTCCCACTCCCAAGCTTCGGAGCGCGGGGCTGGGACACGCACTGAGTGTTGCACTTTTATTTGGGTAGGGAGGCTTGTCGAATGATCCAGGAGGCCTAGAGCTGGAGCCTAGTCCAGCTGGTACACCACCACCTCCCCTTTCAGCTCCCAAAGGAGATGCCCAGACACAGACTTGATGATGATTATATTTTTTCCAATGCCAGTGCTGCTCAGCCCTCAGCATAACCTCAGTTTTCATGAAATAAACAGTGACTATATAAAATTCCACCTTTCTGAAGCTGAAATCTGAGCTCAGGTGAAAGTTTCTTCTTTCCCAAGAAGCCGAGCCTGTGTTCCATCGAGAAAGTCAAGGTCCTCCAAGTGAGGGGAGCCGCGCCTGGGCCCTGCCTTCAAGCCCCAGCCACGCCAGCTCACAGCGCGAGTCTCAACTCCCAGAAGCCAAGGTCTTAAGACCGCGGGTGGCCCAGACTGCCGTAGAGGTCAGGCCTGCGGTGCTCGAACACGGGCAGGTGCTGGCGCAACTCCCGCACGTAACGCAGGTCGATTCGGGCGAGGCAGAGGCCTGGGCCTTCAGGACAGCGGGCCACCACGGTTCCCCAGGGATCCACCACCATGCTGTGGCCATAGCTGGCTCTCTTCTCGTGGTGGCGCCCACACTGTGCTGCAGCCACTACGTAGCACTGGGTTTCAATGGCCCGGGCCCGCAGCAACACCTGGGGACGGGGAAACGTGCGCTCGCTTATAGCGTCTAGTGGGAAGCTGAGAGGTGATGAACGCTACAGGCCAGTCTACTCACTGTGACCATTCTGATAATTGCCTGGGGATGATTTACTATGTTAATTATTCTTTAGCATAATGAGAGGCAACAATCTAGGGAATGAATTTTCCCACTAGGTGGAGAGGGAAAGAAAATCCTTCAGCTAGTAGGGCCAAGGGAGGAGAATGAAGTTAAAAGAAGGCCTGTATGTTTGTGTGTGTGTTTTTAAAGATTGGTTTATTTGAGACAGAGAGAGAGCACAAGTGGGAGGGGCGGAGGGAGAGAGAATCCCAAGCAGTCTCCGTGCTGAGCACAGAGCCCAACGAAGGGCTCGATTCCACAACCCCCAGATGATGGCCTGAGCCGAAACCAAGACTCGGATGTTCAACCGACTGAGCCACCCAGGCACCCTGAAGGCCTTTATGTTTCGAACAGGGGTCCTCTTACCTCCCAGTGGGCTGGGCCTGTAACAGATCCAAAAGCTGAAGGGTAGGTAAGTATTTCTGCTCCAGCCTGAGCCAATGCCAGAGAGAGTTCAGGAAACCGCATATCATAGCAGATAGCTAGACCAATCTGGAATGAAAAACAGCCTAACACCCCTGTCCTGTTTGTCATAGCATCTAGTCACACCCACCACCTACTCCACTCCTTAGGGCTTTCCATCCTCTATTACTTCGAGTATATCTATTCTCCCTCTTGTTTCTCTTCCCCACCTCATCCTTTCACAACTCACACCTTGCCTACTGGAGTGCTGACCGGAGACTCAAGACTGGGCCCAGGAATGGTAGAGTTGCTCTCACACATAGGCCCCTGTCCTGGAATCTCCACGTCACACAGATGGGTCTTCCTGTAAGTGGCCACTACTGACCCTGGAGGAAGAGAGAGAAGGAAGACTCAGTGCTGGTGCTCTAGAAGCCCAACTTAGTTCCTGTGGTCCCAGGGAGCTAGCTTATAAGCTAGGATCAGAAGCACAAACACCCCGAAAACTCCTGACCAAGGAAACGGAGTTGAAAACCAATTCTGGAAAACGTTAGTTTCGGTAGAAGAGCCTGGAAAGAGTCGGCTAAAAAGTTATGAAGTCTCACCCTTGTTGTCCAGAAGCACATGACAATTGTAGATTTTCTGAGTCTGCTCCCAGTCTTGGCCTCGCTCATGGAAACCACCCAAGGACAGCCAGAGTCCACATTCCCTGGGGGAAGGAAGGCAGAGGGGAGGAGACAACACTGACAGCTCTTCTCAACGTTCTACCCTCCTATCTGCCAATTTGGGGACACTGCCCAACAAAGAAACTACCTTTCCCTCCCCCTTTCCCCGATACCTGGCAAGCTGGGTATATTCTCCCAAAAGGTTCCCACCCAGTGGTTCAGACAGGCGGAGTGTCTCTGCGGGGTCCCTTGCGATGAAGTCAAATGCCTCAGGCAGGAAAGCGAGGCAAGCACCCAGTCTGGCAGCCTCTCGAACAAGCTCGGCGCATGTTTTAAAGTTCTCCTGCTTGTCTGGTGTTGATGTTACCTGGCACACAGCCACCAGCGGCAGTTCCCAGGAAGAAGAAGAGATGGCCATGGCTCTGGGCCTGTGGATGGCACAGGCAGGACTCAGATTTCCCAGCATGGGGAAATGGAAGTTTAATGATAAGGGTCTCAAATGGGGAGGCAGGAGGGCTGCATGGCCCTTTGATTTCTCCTCCTGAGGGCACCCACTGATGAAATGTTCTGTGGATGGTTGGCACCCCAGTGTTTCCCACCATCTATTCATTTAACAAACATTTCTTGAGCATCTATTAAGTGCCAGGCACTGAGGTCAGAGCGAAACACGTTACCTGGGCTGTGCACAAAGTACTGAGAGTCGAGGTATCTGGAGTCCAGGACACAAAAGAAAGGACAGGAGCTGGTGAGGAGGCCTGACGGTGAAGCCCAGCCTGAGGAAGGTGAGAAATCAGGACACCAACCGCTCTCTCAAGCAGTATATTTCTAGGATTCTCTGACTTCTCTCTTCATACTGTTTGGCTGAATCAGGGCCCTCCCAGTAAAACACCCTAAGTCTTCAAAACACTCTTTAGTGTAAGTAATTATGGGCTACAGGAAGAGATCATAAAGTGGGAAGATGGAGGAAAGGGCTTTGCTCGGCACCTGAACACCTCCACCTCCAGGGATCGCATACTAAACTTGAAGCCCTTTTCCCCAGCGGGACGTATCCGCGGTTCAGAAGTCACCTCCAAGAAACTTCCTTGCTTTTTTTTCCCAGCCTCTCTTCTTGACTGTGCACCCGCTCAGCTTTACTGCTCAAAGCACATTTCCCCCCTTACCCCAGAATCTCGGAGGGGAAGTTCACCTTCCCTCGTTCCCCACCACCCCGTGGAGGGCAGAGGGCACTGGCACCCACGCAGATCCCAACCCGCGTCCCTCCTCTCCGGTTAACCCGTCCTTTCCACCTCTCCCAGGGACAGTGTCTCTGTTGCACAAGTTAAAGCACCGCAGGTGGAATTCACCGCGGCGGGCGGGAGAGGTAGTAGGTCCTACATGAAGATACAGCCCAAACCATCCGCAGGATCCGAACCGAAGGGAGAAGAACGGCCTGGAAGCAGAAGCCCCGGAGCGAGAGGGCGGCAACTCGCAGGCCGGATGTGACGCACGGCGGGGCGGAGCTGCGCACGCCGGAAGCCCAGCAGGCGGCGAAGATGGCGGAGAGCAGCGGTCGTGCCGTCAAGAGCAGCGGTAGCGGCGCGGGGAAAGGGGCGGTGTCGGCAGAGCAGGTGAGGAGCGGAGAACCCGGGGGAGGGCAACGGGGCCGAGGCCAGAATCGATGCGAGCGGAGGGGGGAGCCTGTGGCTGGTGCAGGCCTCACTCCGGTCTCACCTTTGCGAGGCCGCCCAGGGAGGGGAGGGTCCTTGGAGAAGCTGGCCGAGCCCCGGGGGAGAGAGCCGGAGACTTGGTAGGTGAAAGCCACGCCTCCCTTGGGGTGTTGGGTGAGCCAGCAGGAGGCCAGAGCCCCGACGTGCAGCGTGTGGGAGGATGCGCGGTCGTGAGGGGAGATAGGTCGTCGCTTTCCCCACTTCTCCGCACCCTCAAACAGCATAGGCTGGGCCGGGCAGCTCGCAACGAATCCCAGGGGATTAGTCAACGGGCTGGTTGTGTGGTCTGTTACGTGACCCTGAAACGACGTTGACAGTCGCCCTCACTCTGCAGAGCCACGTGACTCACATACTTGAAGAGCCTAGTGTTCCATACTATTTCGACTCGCAAGTCCTATTAGATTGGATTTCTTTGGCGGCCAGAAACCCTTTCTAACCCGAGTTTGCATTTCCCCCAGTGTCTAGCATCGGGAAACGTTTGATTAATAACTCGGAAAGCCTTCTGTGGCGTGGGAGCCATAGTTGGCTAATGATGGGGCTAGTGTTTAATAGAGGTGGGAAGAAATCTACATAATAGAAAGGAAAACATAAACAGCAGCTCTTTTAATTGCAGGTTCACTTATCAGTTATTTCTTGAACAGTTACTACAGGCAAAGGTGTCTGCATAAAGATTCTTCAAAGAGCTCATAGTAAAATAAGACCTACAAAATGCTAACATGACGCAAAGGATGAGAGCCCTAATAGGTATAAAGTGCTGTGGGATTTTGCGGAGCGGGGGAAAGGGTACTTTCTGTCCCCAGGTGGGGGCGGGGGGCGGTTGTGGTGGAAGGGAAGGGAGAAGGAACCTAATATTTTCTGAGGCTCTACCATGTGCTAAGGCCC